TGGTCATGGACTCCTTTAATTTTTCATTGTCTGGGAAAAAATTTTGTTTGTCTGGTAAACTTTTTATCTATCCTTCTATGCTGAATGAAAGTCTTGCTGGATAAAGGATTCTTGTCTGCATATTTTTCCAATTCAGCACATTGAATATATCCTGCCACTACTTTCTGGCCTGCCAAGTTTCTGTGGATAGGTCTGCTGCAAACCTGATCTGTCTTCCTTTGTAGGTTAAGGATTTTTTTTTCCATTGCTGCTTTCATGATTCTTTCCTTGCCTGAGTATTTTGTGAATTTGACTATAATATGCCTTGTTGACAGTTGGTTTTTGTTGAATCTTATGGGAGTTCTCTGAGCTTCCTGGATTTTAATGTCTGTGTCTTTCTCCAGGTTATGGAAGTTTTCTGCTATGATTTGCTCACATAACCCTTCTACCTCTTTTTCTCTCTTTTCATTTTCTGGGATCCCTATGATTCTGATGTTATTCTTTTTTAACGAGTCACTGATTTCTCTTATTCTGAAATCATGCTCTTTTCCTTTACTCTCCCTCTTTTTTTTTTTCCTGCTTCATTATTCTCCAAAAGTTTGGCCTCTATATCACTGATTCGCTGCTCTGCTTCATCCATCCTTATCATTGTGGCATCCACTTGACAGAAGAGCTCAGTTATAACATTTTTTACTTCATCCTAACTAGCTTTTACTTCTTTTATTTCCATAGAGAGGGATTCTGATCTATTTCTGACCACAGCTAGTATTCTTATTATTGTGATTCTAAATTCTGGTTCAGACATCTTGTTTGTATCTGTGTTGGTTAAATCCCTGGCTGTTATTTCTTCCTGCTCTTTCTTTTGAGGTGAATTCCTTCATTTTGTCATTTTGAAGGAAGAAAAGGAATTTATAAGGTAAAAAAATTAAAATTAAAAAATTGAAAACACACACACAAAGAAAAGTCAAATAAGTGATTGTAGATCCTAGGGGTACTTTGGTCTGGTTATTGAAAGGAGCTTGATTGATTAGAGAAAAAGGGGAAAAATTAAAATTAAAAACTTAGAAACAACACACACACACACACACACACACACAAATACACACACAGAATCTAAAAAGTGATGCTAGATCGTAGGTATGTTTTGGTCTGGTTCTTGCAAGGACCTTGACTGATTAGAGAAAAAAGTGGAAAAAATTAAAACTGAAAATTAAAAACTACACACACACACAAACACACACACTCAAATAAGTGATGCTAGATCCTAGGTGTGTTTTGGTCCGGTTATTGAAAGGAGCTTGACTGATTAGAGAAAAAAGGGGAAAAATTAAAATTAAAAAATTAAAAACAACACACACACTATCCAATAAATGATGCTAGATTCTAGGTGCGTTTTGGTCTAGTTATTGAAAGGAGCATGACTGATTAGGGAAAAAAATTAAAATTAAAGAATTAAAAACAACACACACACACACAATCAAATAAGTGATGGTAGGTCATAAGCGTGTTTTGGTCTGGTTATTGAAAGAAAGTTGATTGACTAGAGAAAAAAGTGAAAAAGAAAAGGAAAAAAGAAACAAACAAAGGAAAGTTTAAAAATTTGAGAAAATGAATACGATGAAATAGAATAACTTGAAATGATGGAAGTAAAATAGAATTTGAAAAATTTACCAAAAAAGTAAAAAATTTAGTCGAAAAAAATAAAGGGAAATATTTTTTAAAAAATTTTTTTACTGTTTTATTTATTTTTGAGAGAGAGACTGACAGATAGAGACAGTACTAGCAGGGGAGGGTCAGAGAGAGAGGGAGATACAGAATCTGAAACAGGCTCCAGGCTCTGAGCTGGCAGTCAGCACAGATCCTGATGCGGGGTTCAAACCCACAAGCTGTGAGATCATGATGTGAGCCAAAGTCGGTCGCTTAACTGACAGAGCTACTCAAGCACCCCTGAAAATATTTTTAATAAAATTGGAAATAAAATAATTTTTTAAATCTTTCTGTATTCAAGTAAAAGCAGCAAAAAAGAAAGAAAAAACAAGAAAATTGAATAGATGGGCCAGTGGACAGACTGAAATGTGATTGATATGACATCGTTTTCCCCTGGAAGTCAAACTATGAAGCAGTTTAGAGTCTGTAAACAAAGCAGGAGAGATTTGTGGTGTTTTTCTGAAGCGCTGAGGTTGGCCCAGTTGGGTGTAGCTTAGTGTAATGGCTCTGTTCTCCACTAGATGGTGCTGCTTAGCTTACTGGGGTGGACAGTTGTGCCGCCTGTAAGTGTATATGCACATGCGCGGGTGGGGTGAAAATGGTGTTACCCAGGTACCCAGTCTAATATTAGAACTCTGTGCTCTCCCCAACCAGGAATCAGGCACCCATCCTTTGTTTTCACTTTCAGTCCACTTACCCCTTTTGCATTCTCTGTAACCACACAGTCAGGTTGCCAGGTGGCACCTCCCTCCTGAGTTTCATCTGAGGGACTGTGGCTTTGACCTGCTCAGATCCTCTTGGGGAAGGTCTCACCAAGAAATTGAGGGTTGCCGGCTGCGCCCAGGAATGCTAGCAAGAACTTGCTGCTGCCAATGTCCAGAGACTTGTGGCTGGATGCCAGCCCAACCCAGAAAAAATTTACACAATTGTGTTAGCAGCGTTTCCGGGATTATGCAAAATCTCACGTGGCCCGAGGACTTCCTGGACCCACTCTTTTCCTGGGAATTTGCTCTTCCACCAAAGCACCACTAGGTACTTGAGCTGCAGAGTTTTAGACTCTGCACTCCCCGTTTATTGAGTCTTAATGAAATTTAAAACCTCTCCTTTTTCCTTTCTCCCTGTGGGTGTTTCCACCTTTTTTCCCACTTTCTCTCCAGCTGCTTTTGTGCAGGTGCTTTTCCCATACTCTTCCTATGTCTCCATCCTCTCTCTGCAAGCAAAAACAGCTCCCTGCCCTCCGCAGCTCCTCTCTCCCCCGGTTCATCTCTCCATACCATGTACTTGATTAGTTCTGTGGTTCAGGTTGTGCAGATTGTTGTGTTAACCCTCAAATCAGTTTTCTAGGTGTGCAGGATGCTTTAATGTTGATCTATCTATATTTCATGTACACAAGACAGAAAAAAGACTTCCATGCTGTTCCAACATCTTGGCTGCTCTCCATCATGTGGATTTTTAAATTTCAATTAGCATGTTCTTGGGTCTCTGCTTGGTTCTTTTTTTATCTCTTTCTTAAGAGTCTCACTTATGTCTTCTCTTTTCTCAAGCTGAGTATCATTATAATCATTACTTTAAGTTCTCTATCAGGTATAACACTTATATCTTTCTCATTTAGGTCTCTTGCTGTGATTTTGTCCTGTTCTTTCATTTGGGATATACTCCTCTGTCTCCTCATTTTGCCTAACTCTGTGTGTCTCTTTCTATATTTTAGGAAAGATCTTCTACTCTACAAAATGGCCTTATGAAGAAGAGGTCCTATAGTGCCCCAATGCAGTGTCTCTTGTCCCAAGAAATTGGTGCCCAGAGGCACATCTCCTATGTGTGTTGTGTGCACCCTGCTGTTGCGTTGTAACCACTCTTTCCTTTATTCCATTTATCTGCACAGGTTCTCTTTGCCTTTTTTTTTGGCACTGTTTGGTCCCTGGCCATGGTGGAGCACATTTTACAAGGTGCACACCAGTCTGCTTGTGAAATGAGACCTGCCAGCATTGCCAGGATTAGTGGTGTATGGGTGGGGTGCACAATTCTAACAAGGTTACACCTGGGGCTCCCAAGGGCCTGACACCACTGCCAGGACCAACGCCTCACAAAATGATTAGGCCAAGAGATGAGATGTTGGTGATGTTCGCATGGGTCTTCTGGGGAAAGGTCTTGGTCTTCTCAGCACCAAGACTGAGATATGTGACGATCAAGGTAGAGTCTGCTGAAGGGTGAGTGGTTGGGGCTTGGTGTGAGCAAGCTAGGTAATGAATGTTGGCACCATACTGGTTCCTGCAGGTGACTCTGGGTTTATGCTAGAGGGTAAATAACTCTACTCCCATATACTCCAGGCATTTTTGAAACTACTGCCTCTATGCTTTATCTTATTTGTTGTGCTGTCTCTTTAAGGGCAGGACTCAGTTTCCTAATGCCCTCTGGGTTTTCCAAGAGCCAGCCTGCTAATTTTTTAATTTCTAGGCCAGCTTTAAGTCCTATTAATTGTAAGAATTCATGAAATTTGGAACCTCTTGCTTTCAAAGCCAAATGTTATGGAAATTCATCTTTCCCATGTGGGCTCCCCAGTGTGACAATCTATTTCTCTTCCTTCTCTTTACCCACTGTGTCCCTCCCTCCTGGGGACATGTCCTCGTTCTTCTTACCTCTCCAATGTGGTCTCTTTTCTACCTTTAATTGTGGAGTTTGTTCTGCCAGGCTTCACATTGTTTTCTGGGTTATTTATGCTGATATGAGTATTATATAGCTGTATCTGGAGTGAGGTATGCTTAGGATCCTCCTATTTTACCACATTCCCAGCCTCTTTCTATTGCTTTTTTATATCTATTTTGTCCTTAGCCACCTTTTTGAATTATATCATTAATAAATATGTGTATTATCTTGCATTTTTCCAAAGGAAAATTAATGTACAAATAATTATACTTTTGTCTATCCATTTATGAAAATGTTGTCTTTTTTTCCTTTCTTTGATCATTTAACACAAATTTCAAAGAGTGGTAAAAACCAACATCCTAGTTTTAGCTTAGCTGAAATGCCTTCAGGATTTCACAAATAACAGTGTCTCAGGTTGAAATAGATTTATTTGATTAAGCAAATTTACTTTTTTTCTATCTAGTTTATAATTTTCAATAAGAATTAATATTAAATTTTATTAATATATTTCTAGTAATATATTTCTAGTACATGAAATGAATATACTTCAAATCTGGCAAAACAGTACAATACATAAACCTATTAGTTTTCAAGGTCAACATAATTCATTTAGAAGTTGTTTACAGATATTTCCTTCACTTCTTAACATAAAGGAACCTAATATCATTTACCTGTAAAGCCTCTTTCAGTTGTTCCTGAAGGACTTTGTTCTCAACTTCCAGAGCAAATGCTACTTTCTATGGTAAAATATAAAGGGAAAATACATTAACTTTAGTATTTCTGTTTCTATAAATTAATTGTTACAATTATCATGTCTCTAAAATCCACAGGTAGCCAACATAATGATTTGAGTATACACATTTACTCACATATTTCTCAGGCATAATGGTGGATAATTTCTGCAGCTGTAGCTTCTTATTGATTTTCTATAGGAAAAATGACCTTGAATCTGGTAAATTATAACTATAATAAACTAAATATTTCATATCTCTTTTTCTCTAGACCTGAAATATTTAAATACAAACATTTCAAATTTTATGAAAAGAAGCAACTCTACTCTTAACAGAAAATTAACATAGTTCTGAGCTTGTGCAAAAGAATGGACTCTGTTACACATGAAATGTATCAAGAATTCTCCATCAGATGGGAGACAGTTTGAGGAACCATATCTAAAATCCACAGTTCTGCTTCTGATATACCAGAGAAAGCTGCTACTGAACAGACCCTGCCACACATAAATACTACAAACTCAAAATAAAATATAAATATCAACACTGAAGAGAAACCAAGAATAAGTAGATTCTTGAGAGAAAGTAATATTTGGAAGAAGAAAAGAGTCCTAGGTAAGATTCTTATTTCCTGGCTTCTAATCTGAAGGCAAACCCTACATGAGCCAGACAAAGTATCTAATAGCTGATAGAAAACATGAATTTTTAGACTTTATAAACCAGAGGAAGGAAATCACTGAAAAACTTAGGTGAAGTCACACAAAGAAGGAACCTTGTGATAAGGAACTCCAAACTCTGTATAAACCCTGTCCGACTCTCCCTTAAGCCCTGAACATTTATATATGTTTGTGATTAACTGCTTTATACATTTGGGGCTTTACACCTTGGGGGGCATAAACATTTACAACTGTTAGCTCTTCTTGATGGATAGACCCCTTAATTATGATATAATGCCTTTCTTCATCTTGTTATAGCCTTTGTTTTAAAATCTAGTTTGTCTGATATAAGTATGGCTACTCCGGCTTTGTTTTGACTTCCAACAGCATCAAGGTTCTCCATCTCCTCACTTTCAATCTGCAGATGTCCTCAGGTATAAAATGAGCCTCTTGCAGGCAGCATATAGATGGATCTTGTTTATTCAATCCATTCTGATACTCTGTGTCTTTCGATTGGGGCATTTAGTCCATTTATATTCAGAGTGATTAGTAAAAGATATGGATTTGCCACTTTCCACTCACAGAGTCCCCTTTGGATCTCCTACAGGACTAGTTTAGTGTTCATGAACTCCTTTAGTTTTTCTTTGGGGAAAAAAGTCTTTCCCTCTCCCTTCTATTCTAAATGACAGCATTGCTGGATAAAGGATTCTTGGCTGCATATTTTCCCCAATCAGCACTTCGAATATTTCCTGCCACTCCCTTCTTGCCTGCCAAGTTTCAGTGGATAGGTCTGTTACTACCTTTATCTGTCCACCCTTGTAGGGTAAGGCCCATTTGTCCCTAGCTGCTTTTAGAGTTCTCTCTTTATCTTTGTATTTTTTACAGTTTCACTGTGATATGTCATGGCATTAGCCTGTTTTTGTTGAAGAGAGTTTGTACCCTGTGGACCTGGGTGCCTGTTTCCTCCCCCAGATTAGGGAAGTTTTCAGCTGTAATTTGTTCAAATAAACCTTCTTCTCCTTTCTTCCTCTTCTTCTTTTGGAACTTCTATGATACGGGAATTGCTTCATTTCATGGAATCACTTAGCTCTCTAATTCTCTCCTCATGATCTAGTAATTTTCCTTTCCCTGTTTTTTTTTCAGCTTCATCATTTTCCATAATTTTGTCATGTATTTCACCTATTCTCGCCTCTGCTGCTTCCATTCTTGCTGTCACTGTATCTAGTTTACTGGGCATCTCATTTATAGCATTTCTTAATTCATCACGACTATTTCTTAGGTCTTTGATCTCTGCAACAATAGATTCTCTGCTGTCTTCTATGCTTTTTACAAGCTCAGATATTAGTCATATGACTGTTATTCTAAATTCTTGTTCATATATATTGTTTATATCTGTTTTGAGCAATTCTCTGGCTATCATTTCTTTCTGAATTTTGAGGAGAGTTCTTCCATTTTGTCATTTTGGCTAGGTTTCTGTCTTTTACATGTTTTAATAGCTTCTTATGTGTCTTGCACCTGCAGGTACTACTATATTAAAAAGAGGCCATACACTGTCCAGAACTGGCTCCTCAGGAAGGATTTTTGGAGTGTGTTGCATGTACTCTGTTGTTGCGTTTTGACTGTTCTATCCCGCAGGTCAGTCCTCTGTAAAGTTCATCCTTGCTTGTAGTGGTGGAGTGTTTGGATCTTCAACCAGGTGTGCTTTGATTTGTTCACTGAAGTAACCATGAAAAAAAAAAAAAAGGAAAACAGGGGGAAGCCTGATCCCCTACAAAGAGAAAAATGAAACGGGCAAAAAACAAAAACAAAAACAGAAACAAGAACAAAAACAAAAGCAAGCAGAGAGTCAAAAGAACTGCAAGGCTTAATCCAGAGAGAGAGAGAGAGAAAGAGAGAAAGGAAAAGAAAAAGAAAACATCAGAATTGACCAAAACAAATCAGAAACTATGAGCCTGATTCCAAAAGAAAAAAAAGAAGAGGGTAGAAATCAAAAGAAAACAGAAGAATAGACAAATAGACAAACAGGCAAAAACAAAAACCAGTTGTTGGTGCTAAAGACCAATGGCTGTATTGGTCTGAAGGAGAATCTGGCTCTGTTGGCTCAGTCTTCCTCCAGTTGATAAGCAGTTACCAGTCACAGAGGAGGGGGACTTGGTGTAAGTGGGTCCTGCCTCCACGGGGGGCCACTGTGCTGCTCCTTGAAGCTCCACTGTGTTGCCATTGAGTAGAAAAATGGCAACACCCCAATCTCTCCTCTCTGGATCAGGTGTCTCATACCATGCTGTTCAGATAGCCCACACAGAGTAGCACAGTCCGTTGGCTTGCCCTGCTCTAGTCTCCTCTGCTTTCTAGGTGCTTGGCTGGGATTCTAATGTCTTAAAGGGCCCTGCACCACGTGGACCCTGTTCTGGTGCAATGCCCCTCAGCCCTGCTGATAAAAGGCCTTTGGTTGGTTCCCCAAGGGTCTTTCCTCCTTGGGGAGGCAATAAATTCTTTTCCCACAGTATTTGAGGAGAGGACTATTCTCTCCCAGTGTGCCCGAGATCACTACGGCACTACAGAACTGACTCCTTCCCTCTCAGGTGCACCTACACAGTCAGCTCTGGTCCAGAGACACTCATGCACTTTTGCTGTTGTTTTCTTTTTTCTTTTCTTCTTTTTTTCCTTTCCTTTCCTTTCCTTCCCTTCCCTTC